CAAAAATTATTTAGTTACTTTTTATATTTTATATTTTACTTTCAATCAAGATTTAATTTGTAATTTTTAAAATATCTAATAAATACTTAACTAATGATAAATTCAAACAATTTAAAATGGTATAATTACTTGTTAACATATATATCAAACTGTAACAAACTTATTACACTATAAGAAAATTGTCATATAATGACACACCCTATAGTGACATAATACATGTTACTAAAAACTACTTTTACCCACACAATAAATATAATATATGTTGGTATATTGTTAAAAAGTGTAGGTATAAACTATAGTGACACACAAAATATGTTGTTAAATCTTATTCAAAATTAATACTAAAATTGTATGTAGTTATATGTTAAATAGGTATATACCTACATATATTATACTTATAGTGACACTTTTTGTATGTTATTATATGGAATATTTTTTGTAGTGTTAAATTTTAGAAATTCGTAACACAAACTTTTATTAGATGGTAATTTATTAAATATAAATAAATTATTCATTTAAACATATCCGTAATATTTTATCGAACTATACATTTTAATGAAGTGGTTATAATTTAATATTTTTGTATTATTTAATTTTAATTACTCTTCACAATTATTATTGTTTTAATTTATTATTATTTTTTACTTAAATATAAACTAATGTGAATTTGATTTTAATGAAAAATACTTTTGATGACTTGCGATGCGAAAGTTATAGATAGAAGAAGAGAGACAACTGCGGTGTGCATGACTGACCGCACCAGTGCGGAGACAGCAACTTACGACTTGGAAACTGGCATAGAAAGTGCTGACACATTTTCGTTTTTGTTATTAATAACTGAGAGTGGATGAAATGAAATATTACTGACGTTGATTGTTGAAGATGAAAGAGCTAAGTTTGGTTTGCATTGAAATATTCAAACCCAGTGCATGCATGCCAGGCTAAGTTGGTTTGCATTCAAATATTCTATTTCAGAGCGTGCATGGCAGGCCAGGCTATCATTGATCCCTGGTGGTGAGGTGACAGATGACAATCACATCGGGATTGAGAAATCGAAAAGTTTAAATGGCGGGGTAGGTACCACAGACCCATTCGATCACGCATATCAATGCCCATCGATCCATCTTTGTCTTCAATAAATCACATTAACACAAAAAGTTCAGGTCAATTATATATATAATGATTCAAATATTTTTTTTATAATTATATTTACTTTATTTTAGTTTTTATAATTTAAAATGTTTTTGTACTTATTTTTTTTAATCCTTTTTTTTCCTATAATTTAAGATTAAATCTTTTATAGTTTCTATATTTGTAGTTTTTGATCTTTTTAATTTTTATTGCTAATTTTTTTAAAATGTTTTTTGATGTGTGGTTGTAGTAGAGTTCTTTAATTGCGTGTATAATCTTATATGTTTTGGGTGTTTGATTTAATTATATATGATATATGATTAATTATTGAATTATAATTATTACTATTATTTTAGAACTTTGAAATAAGGAGCTTTTGAGAATTAAGTTATCTTCGAGATAATCTCAAACAAAGTTAAGTTGGTTTAACTTAAGAAAAAATATAAATTTTTTTGAGGAGTAAACATGATGAGTTCATGTTTAAAAAAAAATAGAGAAAAGGCATTTAGAACCAAAAGTTTTTTTTTCCCTACTGAATTCTTTCTTCATTCTTCCTTACAACTAATTCAAGTTGACTGAGTTGGAGATTCAAGTCCTCAGAGTTAGAAATCTCTAATCAGAATCGTGCAAAGTTCACATTCTTCTTCCTCATCTCTTCTTAGTTAGATCAACTAGAGGTATAAGGGAAACTATATTTTTTACTCTTGTTGAATTATCTAAATTGTATGTCAGTTGATTTCCATAAAATTGTGGCTATGTTAAATGATTTTAAGAATTGAATGTTGAAGGTGGATTTTGTTGCTTGTGGAGTATGTTGAGGTAAATTTGATGATTTCTACTTCAAATTGTGGTTTCATGTTGTTATTCCAGTTGGAATAGAGTTGTGTGAAGGGTATAAATGTGTTGTTTTACATTTCATGTTGGAAACCTTTTGAGTTTCAGGTGGATCAAGAAATTTAGCAAATCTGTCAAGTCTAAAATTCATTATCACGTTAAGCACAACTTTAAGGCATCGAACGTGATGCAAGTCAGAGGCCCTCTGCCTCACTAACATCGAACATAGGATTAGTAACGTCTGGTGTGAGTTAGGAGAGATTTCTCTAACTTGATCACATCGGACGTGGAAGCCTTTGAAGCTCTCTGACTTGGTGATGTTGGCCCTTAGTTAAGTGACACTAAGCGTGATCAAGACAAAAATTCTGTACCTAAATGATGTTGAGTGCTAGTATAATGACATCTTGCATTCGTTAGATAAAGGCTCTTTGCTTGAAATGAGGCAGGCATGGATTTTGGCCATGCCAAATGTGATTGCCACATGGGCTCTCTATCTCATTCATGTCGGGTGCAAGTAGATTGGTGTCGAGCATGAGTGAGCTAGAGGCTCTCTATCTCAACGATGTTTAGTGTAGGGAGAATGACACTTGGCATGTGTTGCATATTTAATATATGTTGAATTATTGACTAAGTGTTGAACATGTATATGTTGTTGAACCTGTATCATGTATGTTATTTTATATGATACTAGTTCTTGCTAAGCAAGAACATGATCTTCTTCCCTAGAAATCATGTCTCCTCAACGACTACAACTCATCTAATTACACGCACAAACACATATACAATTGGTAAGTGCTCTATGACATACAATTAACAATATTTCAAATAATTTAATTTATACATATCAATCAATATCTTCACAAATTATCACAACAAGTTTTCTTAGGGTTTCCCATAGAAACCGACAGGAACCTTAGATCACACACTTATAATTCAAAACATACAATTGATCATACATTCAAACAATTAATGTCATTAGGAACGTCTAAGAAGAACAAGAGACAAAGTAGACACATTTGGAAAAAAATCTCTCATCCATATGCATACAATAGAATTAGGATTGAGGGTCAATCCAACTACTCAACATACAATCTCACACCCAAAGCAAGATTTCTCAGTCCTCCTTATCGTGGTAAGTAGAAGAAGATAGGTGTATGACTCGGGGTAATTTTCTTCTTACTCCTATTCTTCAAGCTTTGAAGCACATACGTAAAATGAAAACATAGAAGGATTTAATCAGAAAACTGTTCTTTTTAAAAACCTTAACCTCTCTTTAACCCTTTAGTTAAAACACTTAACCATACTTACAAATTCCTTATGTTTTATTTAATTAAAATAAAATATTTAATTAAAATATTTAATAATACACCTTATATAATATTCCAAAACATGTCAAATAATTAAAATAAATATTAATACAACTCTATTAATTAAAATAAAAATACCAAAATTATTAATTAAATACTCATATAATATTTTGTGAAAAATTTGGTGTTACAGGAGACAAAGTTTGTTTTGTGAGCCATATTGGAGGATGATGGTGTTTTCCCCTTTTGAGCTACCTTAGTATAGCTAATTAATTAGTCATTAGTAGTGTTGCTTGAGTGGCAATCCAATGATATATTCAATTTTTTTTGGATTACTATGTATATGTGTGTGTAGGATATGATGTAGTTTCACTAAGGAACATTTTATGATTTTAACTAATTTTTTCCTATACATATATTATCATTATTATTGTATATCTAGGAACTGTTTGTATGTTACTTCTAGGTAGTTATGTTTATAATTTCTGCCATGAGTAACTGAACCTAAAAGTGTAGTGACATGGTGAGTTGTTATAATGTGAGGGTAAAAAAAAGTGTCTCAACAATGGGTGTCGTAGGTAAGGGTACAAAAGAGACATTAAACGTCAAGAGACCTAATTTAGAATAGTTGTAGCAAAGTAAATTTGATATGAAATACAAAAAATTGAGTTAATACATCTACATGTCTACACAAAAGAGATAACGTCACAAAAAAAAAATAAATTAAAGACATGAACTAAAATTATTAAAAACCTATAAGTATAAGAACTAAAAAAAATCTATCTTAAATAATAGGGACTAAAAATGATTAAAATAGATAAATATATAGACTAAAAATGTATATGTTAAATTATAGAGACTAAAAGATAAAATAAGTAAAACTATAGAAACTAAAAAAAATATTTTAGTTTCAATATGCTACACTTTGTGGTATATGTAAGGGAGAATTGGATTTAGTCAAACATGGTGTGGTTGGTAAATAAGGATTGTTTTTTTTAGCGAAATACAAAATATATCATCTAATATTTAATATCATTCCACGAGATTTAGTTTTATTTAATTAATGAATTCTAGTCGATTGAAAGAATTTTAATATAATGTATATAAATGAAGAGCAATAGTCAATGCTAAAGCTAACTACTATCTTAGAAATAAATTTCATAATTACCTATATGGATCTGTTTGTGAGTGTTCATGAGCACCTTTTCTTGGAAAATTTTTTTTAGAATGTGAGTTCTTAGCTTAATTCAACACTAAAAAATTACATTTAAAGTGAGTTTCTCTCACTTATATACTCTATATATGTTTTATTTCTGGTTGATGTGAAACTTGAGTTTATACTTTTGATTTATTTGTTTTTTTAATTTTTTTAAGGAGAAAGGTTCAAACGATAGGGATGTAACTTTTGTTAATTATTTCAATAACTTTTACTTAAATGTGAATTTTTTAAAACTTATCATTAGATCAAAAATTCCTTATTCCTAGATCATTATATAAAATTTTATTTTAATTGAAGACAATTTAATACCTCATTTTTATATAACAAAGTTCATGTAATATATACACAAATATGAATACTTTAATTATATTTAAATTATTATTCAGTTTTAATAAAATTTAATATACACATATATAAAGTGATTTAGAGTTATAATCTACTATTATATCGATAAAATTCACATTTAATTAAAAATTATCGATCGGTCTAAAAATTGATAAAAGTTGTACATGTGATTTGAACCCTCGGCTTTCTTTCTCTCTCTATATAATATGAAAATACTAATATAACATCTCAGGGCAAAGTTATTTTAGCAACGGTGACTAGGAAAATTGGTCGAGCTCTGCAATTTTCCCGATCGACCCACCGAAAATGGATCCTCCAGCACAATGTTTGAGATTACATTACCATGCATGCAGTAATGAATATAAATTCTCGGGTCAAAAATTTATCCATATATGTGTCAGAAATAAAAATAACAACTTAAAACAGTTGAATACATCTCATTCTAGACATATATATATATATATATATATATATATTATGATAATGTACAGAAACGGAAAATAAAAGAATTAATCCTCCTACGCCATGCATGAATCATGCATGATATGATGAAAACATAAAATAGTAGTCCCTTGTTCGTTCATGGCAACGAACGAATGTTCCCCACCATGTGATTTAGAAACTGGTAAATTGGCCAAATGCAAGAGATGAAAGGGTTTGCAGCCGAAGCACCCCATCGTGAATAAGAATTTGCTCTGTTCTTAAGCCTTTCCCAGAATGCCGCGAAGCAGTTTCGGTTTCTGGTGACCAACAACGCCGTGGATTGTAAGTAAACCGAAGCTGCACGCTTCACCAACTCGTTTCTGATGGCAATGGTTGAGTCCAAGTCATTTCCCTCGTACAAGATCGAACACTTTGGTGGTGTGTTGCAAATGATGTCCTTCAGGCTCGTGTATTGTAAATTCTCGATTATTTCTGACTCTCTACCAACCGAAGAGATTCTCGGAATTCTCAGTGAACGTGCACTCTGAAACTCTTCTATCTGTGTTTCCATTCTTAACAAAAGCCATGTGACAATGTGTAATAATTGTAATCAAATGAGGCCATGATATGCTCTAGAAAACGAGTTGTTTTATTTTCTACGTGCGAGTTTTCACTTTGGTATGTTTGGGAGATGAAGAAATGGGATGTGTTATTTGTTTCTAAATTAGGTGCAATGAGATCACCTTGAGGCTTGGGAAGGTATAGAGAGAGAGAGAGAGTTTCGTGGGAATAACCGAATATATGGGATCGTTTGATGTAGGCAAATTAATATTCCCCAAATAGAGGGTTAATGAAACTATATACCAAGAAAATAGCCATATTTCTATCACAAACGTTTTGCATGTGTTATGTTTTGTTCATATCAGTTAATAGAACAAAATGGTTCTGTTTAAGTTACAATAAAACAATCTGTTACCGCCATTGGCAAATTTTTTTTTTAAAAAATGGTTTTGCACGAGCAACAAAGTTACAAAGACATCAATGGAATATAATATAGGTTTTATGACAGTAACAAACATTTAGCGTACCTTGTATACTATTGTTATCCTTGACGGCCCATTTTCTATTATAATGGGCTCAATATGGCCCTCAAATTTTAAGCTGGTAAGTGGTAAGATTGAATTTGAAGCCTATAGATTAATTTTAATTAGTTCCATTAAACTTGTCGCAACAGTAAAAATATTGTTGTTGCTTTAATTAGGACAGTGCCCACAAAAAGAAAAATTCAATGGAAACTAAGTTTTTCAGAAATTACTATAGTTAGAAAAATAGAAACCACTTGAGTTATCTAATATTTCATCTTTTATCTCTATATTAATATTGAAATTTAACAGTTTTTCTCATTTCAATAGTTAAAATAACTTTATATAACAATTTAAATGATTTTTTTTTATAAATTTAAAATATAATTTTTATATAAAAATATTTAGACTTAAACAACTTTCTAGATCCTGTAAAATAGGTTGTTTTTGTTTTTAGCACTTTTTTTAAAAAAAAAATTTTGCCATTAATTTTTTTTCATTTTCATCTTTATGGTCAAATTGATTGTTAAATCTAAAAAAAAAAAAGTTAAAAAATTATAATGTTCAAAATAGAACAGGTCCAAATCAAACAGCTAAATTTTGGGAGACCCAAAATAAAACAACAAAAGTTTGAGAGGACTAAAATATAAATAATTAAAATTAAAAGAATTAAAATGAAATCAACCTTATTTTATAGGAGATAAATATCTATTTGAGTTAAATTTATAAAATTTTAATCTTTAAATATAATAAACGCACTAATACAGAATATAAAAAAATATAACAAATACATTGATGATTAGCAAAAATGTTTATAAAAATTAAACGTACAACTTCGTAAAAGTTATCTAATGGCACAAAATGTACAAAAAATAAATAAAACAGATAAGTAAAAAAAAAATCTAAACATAAAATAAGATAAAAATAGCAAAATGAATTATATGTGAACATAAAATAATGTAGAAATCAAATAAATAATGAAAAAAATTGCATTAATATCTTTTCTATGTTACATCAATATCTCTTATAGATTACATTAAGGAAAATCCTTTTTTATTATTTTATATTTGTGTGTTACTACTCATTTTAACATCTCTGCTATATTTTATTATTTTTTCTCTATTTATTATTTTTTCTTCATAACTTAAAAATGATTACAACGTTGTTGGATGACTTTTATAAGCTTTTATGTTTAAGAATTATTTTTTTTTTATATGATCAGTAACAATTAATATGCTTACTTTATATAATGAAAAAAAATTACATTAATATCTCTTATAGATTACATTAAGTAAAACTTTTATTATTTTATGTTTGTATGTTACTACTCATTTTAACATCTTTGTTATATTTTATATTTTATATTTTTTCATTTATTATATTTTATTTATAACTTAAAAGTGATTACAACATTATTGGATGACTTTTATAAACTTTTATGTTTAAGAATTATTATTTTTTAGATGATCGTTAACAATTAATATTTTATTTTATATAAATACAAATTAAAGTTTAAATTCTATAAATTTAGTTTAAATAAAAGTTTAGTTCCTTTAAAATAAGTTTATTTTTAATTTTAAACCTCTCGATACTAATTATTTTTATTTTTATTTTCTTAATTTTAATTATTTTCATTTTAGTCTTTCTAAACTTTAGTTATTTTTATTTTAATCATTTTATATTTTAATCCCTATAATAATCTCACTTTTTTATTTTGATCTATGTAATCTTTTTGACCTTTTCCCATTAGATTTAACAATTTAACCTAACAATAAGAAGAAGAAAAATGAAATAAAAAACTATGCTATTTTAATGGGATAATCCCATTCAAATTGAATTTCCAAAGTAATAGCTGATTGAATTTCAATCAAACTTCAAAACAAACCCTATGCTTCAAATAAAGACGTGGCTCCACGACACTCATGTCCATCCAAATATATATATATATATATATATATATATATATATAAGTTATAAGTCTCAAACATAAATAATCTCAACAAATTTTACTTTATTTTGATAATATTGTCCAAAATTACCATTTATTTAATTGAGTATATATATATATATTTTAATTAATATTCCTTTTCTATTTCTGTAGGATCCACATGCTTGATCTTGCATGGTAATTAATTGGACTCTAGGCACCATTCAACTGCAAAATTCTCAAAGTCCAAGGATGACGTTAGTGATATATTTGATTTATCAAATTGTGTCCCATACATTAATGTATGGACTTTTGTGATTTCATCTTTCTTTCCAAGTCGGCAACTTCCGTTTTATAATGTTCGTCACATTTTATATAAATAATATATTTACTTTAATATACACTCTTTTATTCATCTAACTTATCCATCACGACTCCCTTGTTGACTTATACTTATCATATGTTTCAGCCATTCATTTGGATGAGGCAAATGTGACAAAGGTTAGACAATAGTATAGTATTATTCCAATAATTTTATTAATTCAATCAATTTACGCTTATATTATTAAAAGTAAACCATAAGAATTTATACACTCTCCCCCTCTTCCCTCAAGCAATATAATCTTGTTTCTGAAGACTAACTAAAGTTTAGAAAACTCCATAACAAAAAGGAAAAAGGAATTCTCTTATATCCTCAAACGCAGTTATTTTCAAAACTGTTTTCACACCTAAACTATCCACTTGACTATTTGGATGTTTATAATCAAGTAGCCAGTGTTCTTAATTAAAAAATGAAAAACAAAAAAAAAGTAAATAGCTAGAGTTTATTTAAAATGCTTTCATGTAATTTAAAAATATATATATATAAAAAATATGATCATAATGGAAATCAAAACTACGTCCTCGTGATTTTATTATCCCAACTTCTTTCTCCCTAATCTTAGTGATTTTATGTAAAATACTTATTTAAGTTCAAACTTTTACTGTAAATAAAGAAAGAAAAATTATATAATATCAAAATGTTGGCTCTAATTACTTTTTTTAAAATCCTAAATGATGTAGTTGGACGATGAATTAACTATCACACTAGCTAGTTAGTTATCACACATTAATTGCATTGGATTTTGATAAGCCCGGGAAAAGTTGGCAAAAAAATTGTCTCATCATTTATCTTTATTTTCACAATTAGAAGTATTATACAATGTTCATAATTTCTCTCAATTCATGCAACATTATCCATGTGGGTGGTACAATATCATAAAGGTAACCTAGGGCAAGAATTCCTTATAGATAATGTAGGTGGCTTGAAATTGCATGGGTGTTGTAGTGCTGACTTGACCATTTGTACATTTATGCATGCATCACACTTATTTGATGAATTATATTTGGGGATAATATGGTTTTAGCCCTTTTAAAAATTTTACAATTTCGTTTTAGTTCCTCGAAAAGTATTTTCAATTGATATATATATATATATATATAATTTATTTATTAATTA